TGCGGTGGGTCCAAAGACCACCCGCCCCCCCCCACCGGGCAAAAAAAAAAAAACCTCCTTCAAAAAAAAAAAAAAAAAAAAAAAAGAAAAAAGATTTTCTGTGACCTTGGCTTTCCAGCTACCTGCTTATCTGTATGGAACTTTCCCAATGAGAATTCGGTGCTTCAGAGTGACACCTGCGAAACCCATTTACTGTCAAGATGCTTTCCCCTCATCTGGGAAGTTAGGTGACTGGTTAAGTTTGTCAGTAATTCTGAGAGGGGAGGTCCCAATGAAGAATGCTTTCAAGAATTTGCTTTCACCTGATGTGTGACATTTTCCTCCTTTGGGGTTTAGAAGCCTGAGGGAGCTCAATCCTGGTAGCAACACCCCTGAATTCCTGGTGGTGAGAGGATGTGGCCCCAGGATCCATCCCGGAAGGAGGTGCTGAGGTTTGCAGTCAGCTGCCGTATCCTGACTCTGATACTCCAGGTCAGTCTCCCATCCTTTGTCCTGAATGTGCCATTGCTACATGACTGGACTAGGCGGTAAGAAAGAGTCCCCATCTCCTTTCCACCTCCCAGGTGTGTCCGTCTATGTGGTTGGAACCATAGGGACATACTTAGAGCTGAAAAGTGGTCAGGAATCTTAGAAACATGGTCTGTTAATCTTCTGTTTTACACATGAAGAAGCAGAGGCCCAGAAAGGTTAAGTGACATCCCTAAAGCCACATAGGAAGATAGAGAAGGGCTGGAGTTTGACCCGTGTTTCCAAACTCCTGAGCTAGTGGTCTCTCCAACAGACTGTGATGTTCTGTAACCAGAGATGCTTGTATGGTGTGACAGCTCAAAGTATTGCTCTGTGTCCCCTTACCAGGAGACTGAGCATTGTGTCAGTCAGTTGAGTGTGAGAGACGTGGCAATGTACAAGTCCTGAGACCATCTGGATATATAATGATTCCTCCTATTCCCCCGAGTGCCTCCCTTTCCTGCCTCACCCACACACAGCTCTCAGTGCACTTGCCCTTTTACAGCTCCCTTTCCCCTCCGAGGCTTGATACATATTTTAATAAAATGTCATGTATATATGAATTATTTGCTGCCTAGCACAGTGTCTGATGCTTAGCTCAGTTTATTCATAAATGAATGAATGTTGTTGAATATATGTCAACACTTAGCGGTGTTAAATTCACATAGTTATGTGTGCCTTTTATCCCAGTACCATTCTCTCTGAGGCTTATAGCTGGTTCCTTTGTGGAAACCTTTCCTCCCTCCTTTCCCACTATATAAGGTGTAGCAGCCTCTGCTGTGTTTTGAGATTAGTTAAACTTGTCCACCTGCAGGCTAGGGCTGTTTATCTATGACTGTCACTCCTGTCGTGTTTGTTTTTACTGTTTGAAGTGGCCTGATAAGGAAACTGACCAAAAAGTGAAAAAGCCTTAAAAATGGGGCCATGCTCTTGTTGCCAGCTAGGGAGACTTTACTCAGTGATGTTTCTCAACCAGCATCAGCTGGCTTCCTGGCAGAACCAAAGAAGCAGTGCTGCAAGTCAGCGTCCAGGATAGGGAACCAGGACAGCCGGGTTCTAAATCAGGTGGTAATTTTGGAAATAGTGTATTTCCTCTAGGCAGTTCCTTCAACCACTAAAAATGTTCAAAATACCTATAGTAATAATCTAGTAATAGTAATAATCTAATAGGGCAAAAAGACTTTTCTTTTTTCTTTTTTTTTTTTCTAGAGACAGAGTCTCAGCCTGTCGCCCAGGTTGGAGTGCAATGATGTGACCTCAGCTCACTGCAACCTCCGCCTCCTGGGTTCAAACTATTCTTCCACCTCAGCCTCCCGAGTAGCTGGGATTACAAGCACCCATCAGTACACCCAGCTAGTGTTTTTTTTTTTTTTTTTGAGACGGAGTTTCACTCTTGTTACCCAGGCTGGAATGCAATGGCACGATCTCGGCTCACCGCAACCTCTGCCTCCTGGGTTCAGGCAATTCTCCTGCCTCAGCCTCCTGAGTAGCTGGGATTACAGGCACGCGCTACCATGCCCAGCTAATGTTTTGTATTTTTAGTAGAGATGGGGTTTCACCATGTTGACCAGGATGGTCTCGATCTCTTGACCTTGTGATCCACCCCCCTCGGCCTCCCAAAGTGCTGAGATTACAGGCTTGAGCCACTGCGCCCGGCCACGCCCAGCTAGTTTTTGTATTTTTAGTAAAGACAGGGTTTCACCATGTTGTCCAGGCTGTTCTCGAACTCCTGACCTCGTGATCCACCTGCCTCGGCCTGCAAAATGCTGGGATTACAGGCGTGAGCCCGTGCCCAGCCAGCAAAAAGACATTTAACAGTAAATCCTATTTCATTATCATCCTCCCACTTTCAGCTTTAACACTCAAGCCATCAGATTATATCCCTAAATTACCCTTTGTTGTTGCTGTCATCTCTGTCAATGACAGCTAATCCTTGACGGTTTTAGCTCCTGGTTCAATGTCACTCTTCCCAGTACTACTTCTGTTGATTTCCTAGTGGTTTCATTATTATTTATTTATTTGTTTATTTATGAGATGGAGTTTTGCTCTCGTCACCCAGGCTGGAGTGCAGTGGTGTGAACTTGGCTCACTGCAACCTCCACCTCCTGGGTTCAAGCGATTCAGCCTCCTCAACCTCCCGAGTAGCTGGGATTACAGGCACCTACCACCATGCCCGGCTAATATTTTGTATTTTTAGTAGAGACGCCATGTTGGGCAGGCTTTGTCTTGAACTCCTGACCTCAGGTGATCCACCCACCTTGGCCTCCCAAAGTGCTGGGATTACAGGCATGAGCCACAGCACCTGGCTAGTTTCATTATTAGTGAAGATGATGTGTGCATGTCCTGAAAGAGGCTATCCCTTGAGAGTGAGTACTGGGGAAAACGTGTTAGAGATTTGAGGAAAGAGAAAAACATGTTTAACACTTACCAACTTGTTTTCCTGAATGACAACTCAGAAAAATAAAGGGCATTAGAAGAGACCTTCCATATGCACCCACCACATTCTTCAGCCTACCTATGTCTGCACCTTTGTGCTTTCAGTACTGAAGGTTGGATCAATTATCTGTCCTCTTCCCTATGGCTGGCTCCTCTTCCTTTGTGGCAGATTCCATCCCTTTTGCCTACCCAGCAGTTCTCCCCTCTCTCCTGCATACCCTTTCCCTGGATTATTTCCACTAACATACAAAGCCTTATCTCCCACCTTAAAAAAAAGTTTTCTCTTAACCCCACATTTTTGTTCACCTACTACCCCATTTGTCTGCTTCCCCTTACTCCTCAGAGTTTCTCTTCCCAGTCTAGGCAGGCTTCCCTCTCTTCTGTTCCATTGAAATAGCCCTGGTCAAAGTCACCAGTGACCTTCACCTTGCTAAATCCAGTGGTCAGTTTTCAGTCTGACAATTAACCTTGACTAACACTTGACCTACCAGCAGCATTTATAGAGTTGATTACTCTTCTTCCCTTGGTTCTAGTGCTCTCTTGGGTTCCCTGCCACCTCACCGACTGTTCTTTTTTCTTCATTACTGGATTTTCATCCTCTTCCTAGCCTTCATATATTAACATGTCCAGGGTTCAGTCCTCAGATCTCTTCTTTTGTTTAAATAGGGTCTCATTCTGTCACCCCGGCTGGAGTACAGTGGCACAATCACAGCTCACTGCAGCCTCAACCTCCTGGGCTCAACCAATCCTCTTACTTCAGCCCCCCAAGTAGCTGGCACTACAGGCATGTGCCCCCACACCCAGCTAATTTTTATTTTTTAATTTCTGGTAGAGACAAGGTCTCGCTACATTGCCCAAACTGATCTCAAACTCTTAGACTCAAGTGATCCTCCCACCTGAGCCTCCCAAAGTGCTGGGATTACAGGTGTGAGCCACTGTGCCTAGCCTTTTTTTTTTTAGTTTTTGTAGAAACAAGGTCTTGCTGTGTTGCCCAGGCTGGTCATGAACTCCTGGGCTCAAGTAATCCTCCCATCTCAGCCTACCAAAGTGGGGATTACAGGCATGAGCCTGGTCTTCTTCCTCATTTTATTAAATGACAATTCTTTTCTTCCAGTTACTCAACCCAAATCCTGGTTTTTCTTTACTCCACAGGCCCTCTTCAATGCCATCATCCCAGATCACCATGCAGAAGCCTTCTCTCCTCCTCGCCTGGCCCCCTTAGGCTTTGTGGACCAACTTGTGGAAGGTCTTCTGGGTGGCCTGTCTCGCTGGGATGCTGAACACTTCCTGTTCATTGCCGAGCATGGCTATCTGTATGAGCACAACTTTGCCTTCTTTCCTGGTTTCCCCTTGGCTCTGCTGGTGGGGACTGAACTGCTGAGACCCTTACGGGGGTTACTGAGTCTACGCAGTTGCCTGCTGATTTCAGCCGCATCACTCAATTTCTTGTTCTTCATGTTGGCCGCAGTTGCTCTTCATGACCTGGGTTGTCTGGTTTTGCACTGTCCCCGCCAGGCCTTTTATGCAGCTCTGCTCTTCTGTCTCAGCCCTGCCAATGTCTTCCTGGCAGCCGGTTACTCAGAAGCTTTGTTTGCCCTCCTGACATTCAGCGCCATGGGGCAGCTGGAGAGGGGCCGAGTCTGGACTAGTGGACTCCTCTTTGCCATTGCTACTGGGGTGCGCTCCAACGGGCTGGTCAATGTTGGCTTCCTCATGCATTCTCAGTGCCAAGGCTTTTTCTCTTCTCTTACGATGCTGAATCCCCTGAGACAGCTCCTTAAGCTGATGGCCTCTCTGTTTCTGTCAGTGTTCACACTTGGCCTTCCCTTTGCCCTCTTTCAGTATTATGCTTACACTCAATTCTGTCTGCCAGGCTCAGCCCGCCCCATTCCTGAGCCCTTGATACAGTTAGCTGTAGACAAAGACTACCGGATTGCAGAGGGAAATGAACCGCCTTGGTGCTTCTGGGATGTTCCACTAATGTACAGCTATATCCAGGATGTCTACTGGAATGTTGGCTTTTTGAAATACTATGAGCTCAGGCAGGTGCCCAATTTTCTACTGGCTACACCAGTGGCTATACTGGTTGCCTGGGCAACTTGGACATATGTGACCACCCACCCTTGGCTCTGCCTTACACTTGGGCTGCAAAGGAGGAAGAACAATAAGACCCTAAAGAAGCCCGATCTTGGATTCCTCGGTCCTCAGGTGTTTGTGTACCTGGTCCATGCTGCAGTGCTGCTGCTGTTTGGAGGTCTGTGCATGCATGTTCAGGTGAGGTGGATTCCTGACTGGGATAAGGATGTTAATACAGGCAAAACCCCTTGGCTAAGGACAGGGAAGATAGCTAACATCTCCCATTTCAGTGATCCATACTGAATTTATTCATTCAACGACCTTTTTTTTTTTTTGAGATGAAATCTTGCTCTGTTGTCCAGGCTAGACTACAGTGGCGTAATCTTGGCTCACTGCAACCTCTGCCTACTGGGTGCAAGTGATTCTTCTATCTCAGCCTCCTGAGTAGCTGGGATTACAGGCATCCACCACCATGCCTGCCTAATATTTTATATTTTTAGCAGAGACAGGGTTTCACCATCTTGGCCAGGCTGGTCTCCTGACCTCATGATCCACCCACCTCAGCCTCCCAAAGTGCCATGATTACAGATGTGAACCACTGTGCCTGGCCCATTCAACGACTATTTAGGAATGTTCTTTGTGCCAGACTCCAGGTCAGACCCTAAGGAGAAACATGAATAAAACAAAATTACTGCCCCTAGGGGTTTAATGGTATAAATAGGACAGACATTTAACAGATAAAATTATAGTACAGTGGTATAGAGAGGGGAGTGCTGTTTTGAGATTTATTTTACTTTATTTCCATTTTTTGAGACAGAGTCTCCCTCTGTTGCCCAGGCTGGAGTGCAGTGGCATGATCTCGGCTCACTGCAACCTTTGCCTCCTGGGTTCAAGCGATTCTGCTGCTTCAGTCTCCCAAGTAGCTGTGATTACAGGCACCTGCCACCACTGTCCGGCTAATCTGTGTAGTTTTAGTAGAGACATGGTTTCACCATGTTGGCCTGGCTCTTCTTGAACTCCTGAACTCAAGTGATCTGCCCGCCTCAGCCTCCCAAAGTGCCGGGAATTCAGATATAAGCCACCATGCTCAGCCTGAGATTTTTTTTTATTTTGCTTTTTTTTTTTTTGGGACGGAGTTTCGCTTTTGTTACCCAGGCTGGAGTGCAATGGCGCGATCTCGGCTCACCGCAACCTCCGCCTCCTGGGTTCAGGCAATTCTCCTGCCTCAGCCTCCTGAGTAGCTGGGACTACAGGCACGCGCCACCATGCCCAGCTAATTTTTTGTAGTTTTAGTAGAGACGGGGTTTCACCATGTTGACCAGGATGGTCTCGATCTCTTGACCTCGTGATCCACCCGCCTCGGCCTCCCAAAGTGCCGGGATTACAGGCTTGAGCCACCGCGCCCGGCCGAGATTTTTTTTTTAAAAAGCTCAGATAAAGTATTATGGAGGCAAAGAAGAAGTATATAATTCACTGGAGTAGTTGAGAAAGGCATCATATTTCAGCTGGGTCCTGAAGAATGAGATTTTCCATATAAGAAGCAGAGGAGGAACACTCTAGGTAAAAGGAAGGGCATATGCGAAAACATGAGGGTTGTGAAAGGATTGGACTGAGATACAGGAATAAGCACAGAGGATATCTCTGGGATTTTTCCCTAATATACAGTTATGTCCATATTGGCTTCTTGACTGTTGACTTCTGGAGGTACTCAACTCAGGCAGGTGCTCAATTTCCAGAGGAGATATCATATCTAAGGTCTTGAGTCATGGTGGTGGTGATAGAGAGGGATGGGAAAGGTTTGATCTTGTATCTGATTTTCTGTTCTTGCTGTGGCCCCACCCTGGGATGTCTTTTTTCCCCATGCTGACCTCTCCTTAGCAGTTTCTTCCTCTTGGAGTGGCACATCAGCTGTTTCTGAAGTTCTCCAAGCTGTATGGATAAGAGACAAAGAGGAAATAGGAAGTCGCTTTCCATGTCTTTAGCTGGATTAAATCATAGAATGAGTGCCAGCAAAGCTTAAGCTTTCCAGGTTAGCTGAGGGAGGCCATTTGTAAACTTGTTTCTGAACTCCTGTAGCAGAGAGAATGTTCAAGCAACGGGTCTCCTGCCTGTTTCCCTCTGCTTTGCCATCCCGTGGGATAAAGGAACCACCTCAGGTTCCCAAGCCCCAAATCAATAGCACAGAATTTGGAGTCCATGCCCTGGGCTAAAATTAGACTCCATAGTTTCTAGTACTGATTGGCCCATTATTGTAATAGTAATTAGTCTGTAACTGTTTATTTGTAACATGGAAGATGTTTGTCTGCTGTTCCATGCATCTTTCTAAGACAGATCCTAAGTTCTATTCAATTTATTTTCCAGAGTAATACATTTCTAGTCTGGGACCATGGTTCACCCAGCAGTAGAGAAGTCCCCAGGCTGGTCCAATTTAAATCAGTGACATTTCAGTAAATTTCTGGATGTTCCCCTCTTACGATTTCTAGGTTCTCACCAGGTTTTTGGGCTCCTCCACTCCTATTGTGTACTGGTTTCCAGCTCACTTGCTTCAGGATCAAGAGCCGCTGTTGAGGTCCTTAAAGACTGTGCCTTCGAAGCCTCTAACAGAGGACTCCCCACCAGGACAAAAGGTCCCTAGAAATCCTATCATGGGACTTTTGTATCATTGGAAAATCTGTTCTCCAGTCACACGATACATTCTAGGCTACTTCCTGACTTACTGGCTCCTGGGACTACTCCTTCATTGCAACTTCCTGCCTTGGACATGACCGGGACTCTCCAGGGACAGGCTGAAAGCCGACTTAACCCAGGGGTCTGAAAGTAAAACTACACGTTGGAACTGCCTGTGCTGCCTTGGGATCATTGCTGTGTCCATTATAATCTCTCTCTTTGAAAGCTGGTCGGGAATGGGAGAAGTGTCAGCCACTAGAGAGCCCCTTCTGGTCCTGGCTAGGGCAAATTTTAGAGTAACAATATTTTCTGTAACTGAAGATTGTCTTATTCCAAGTCTGAAGTACACCTGGATCTGTCTAGTCAATCAACATAGCAGAGACAGTCTTAAACCTACCACTGACCTGCGTGTAATTTAAATATCAATTATTGAAATGTAAATTTCATCAAAGCTATTAACTGACAGGCAGCTAACAGTCCACACAAGATGGTACAGGCCTAAACAGTGTAGTGGCAGTAGTGAAGTGGGACCATTTTTTCTAACTGGGACATTGTTTCTGATGAATTTTTTTAATGATTTGTGCATTTATTTTTATTTATATGAAAAAATCTTACAAAGATATATAAATAAAACTTCTTTCAGTTATATGTGCAATGAATTGCCTTTTTAAAAATAATACAGGGTGGGCACGATGTCTCACACTGTAGTCCCAGTACCCTGTGAGGCTGAAGTGGGCAGATCACTTGAGGCCAGGAGTTTGAGACCAGCCTGGCCAGCATGGTGAAACCCATCTCTATTAAAAATACAAAAATTAGGGCATGGTGGTGCACACCTGTAATCCCAGCTACTTGTGAGGCTGAGGCATGAGAATTGCTTAAACCTGTGAGGCAGAGGTTGCCGTGAGCTGAGATCAGGCCACTGCACTCCAGCCTGGGCAACAGAGTGAGACTCTGTCTCAAAAAAAGTAAAAAATAAAAATAATACAAATATTTTCATGCTGTTTCCTTTTTGTGGTAAAAAGTAAAATAATTTTTTTTCTTAAAAATTTTTTTAAGCTGACAGTTTTCTGAAAAAGTTAAATAATTTTTAAAAATTAAGATGGTACAAATCAGTTGGAGAGAAAAGGGTAAGAAGAAGGTATCAGGAACCCTGGATTCTAGTCCTCTCAGTAAAACCCCCTTTACCAGCCATGTGACTTGGGAGAGTTTTCAGAACCTTAGTTACCTCCTCTGAAAATCGTGTGAAATTATGATATTCTTCAGGGGGTGGTGGTGAACCATACAATCTCTTGTAAGTCCCTTTCTGCTCTAAGATCTTAAGAACTGCCTTAAACAACAGAATCCCCCCAGTCTAAACCCTTATGTAGAGGCTTAAACGTGTGATTTTAGGAGAAAATACCTAGTTCTTCTGTCTTCAGCAATCAGAAGAAACTCCTCCTCCACCCCCAGAGTGCAACTCTGGGGAGGAACTTAGGTGGTCTTTCCTTTGAATGAGGGAAAGCAGTGATATCTGGCAGATAAGGTGCCTGCTGTGTGTTCTCAGGTGCCTGCTTGCTTGATCGGCATGCGTTAGAGGAGCCAACACAGCGGCAGGAATTGGTAAATTGTACGTAAGTCCAAGGTGGTCCAAGGTGGAATGAAATAGTATCTGCCCTGCTTCCTGGCCCCTGTTTAATCATGAGCCTATCACTATAATTGTAGTAAGATCATTGACCCCTGCTGAGCTACTTTTGCCCATTCCTTGAGCCAGGTAAGAGTTTGGCTCTGTAACATCCATCAGCTCTTTTATTTCCCACTTAAACCAAAAAAGTCGGCCGGGCGCGGTGGCTCAAGCCTATAATCCCAGCACTTTGGGAGGCCGAGGCGGGTGGATCACGAGGTCAAGAGATCGAGACCATCCTGGTCAACATGGTGAAACCCCGTCTCTACTAAAAATACAAAAAATTAGCTGGGCAAGGTGGCGCGTGCCTGTAATCCCAGCTACTCAGGAGGCTGAGGCAGGAGAATTGCCTGAACCCAGGAGGCGGAGGTTGCGGTGAGCCGAGATTGCGCCATTGCACTCCAGCCTGGGTAACATGAGTGAAACTCCGTCTCAAAAAAAAAAAAAAAAAAAAACAAAAAAAAAAAAAAAACAAAACAAAAAAGTCCAGTAAGTAGAAACTCTTCAAAACAGATGGGTAATCATAAGCAGCTTCTGGAGAGACTCAAGAATTAGAATTTTGACACACTCCCTCTGACAGTGACACAAAGCTAAACTTGGCAGCTGAAGGGAAGTTCCTGGCTGAGCCCCAGCACCCTCTGTTGGAGCTTCTGGTCAGCCTGGCCAATAAGCATTTCCCATCCATCGATGCAGCACTAGCACAGCTGAGAGAATTTGGTCCAGAGTCAAATGCTTCTGAAAATGTACACACTGATCGGGGCAGCCCTCTGTCTTCTGCCAAGACACCGAGTGCCCTTCTTGGCAAAAGATGATCACCCCTGCCCTAATGTCCCTCCAGTTGGCAGAAACTGTTCCCTTTCTCCTTGCCAACAGCTGCAAATCCAGAGACTTCCACCCTGTGTGCAGGAAGCGTTGGGGTCCTGTTTCAGCTCTCTGTTGCTGAGGTAGGAGCACTGGATTCTTTGCTCTCCTCTTTGCCTCCTCTTGGGGGATAATCAGGACTGATTATTCATCAACTGGAAGAGGTGACTCAGACCCCATAAGGTAGGTGTGATGTCACTGTTCTGGCAGTTTCAGCTTAACTAGAGCTCATCATACCCAGAAACGTGTAACAGGAGCCCAACTAGGTGGACGCACCTGGCCTGAGCTGGGCAAAGTTTTCTTTCTGACCTTGCAGGGATTTAGTTGTTCTCTAAGGATCTACTGAATGGGCTGATTTTATGACCAGCAGCTGTCCTTTTACCATCCTATTAACAGTCTCTTTAATAGTCTGGGAGAGGGACTTGAAGGGCCCAAGGCAGGAAGTTTCCTGTTTACCCTGAGGTCTAACAATGCCACAGCTAGGTGGGGTGTCTGCAATTTCAGAGAAGAGTCATTTCCTTCTGAGACCCTGCTAAGACAGAAACCAGACGCCTAGAAGTACCTAGAAGTAGATGCTTTTTTTTTGTTCTTTAATGAAGGTGGGAGGAGAGAGAGTGTTTGACATGCCTTTACCAGTCCTCCTGGAAAAATGTCACTTTTCTGAACAGACCCTCTCACTATCATCTAAAAATGTAATATGTGCAGGCTCAAGGGATTTGAAACTGATTGATTCTTTCAGTAATTGTTTATTAATACCGATTTTAGGGGAATAAAGATGACTCAACTATGCCTCCTGTCCTCAAATAACTGTAATAAAGTTGCTAGCAGACACAGAAAAATTAATGAAGGCAGAAAACAATAAATTCTGGAGAGTGAAAGGACTCTTCTTGCTCTATATCTCACTACTTGAATCTTTTTTTTTTTTTTTTTTTTTTTTGAGACAGAGCCTTGCTCTGTCACCCAGGCAGGAGTGCAGTGGTGCAATCTAGGCTCACTGTAACCTCTGCCTCCTGGGTTCAAGTGATTCTCCTTCCTCAGCCTCCCAAGTAGTTGGGGTTACAAGAGTCCGCCACCATGCCCAGCTAATTTTTGTATTTTTTAGTAGAGGCAGTGTTTCACCATGTTGGCCAGGCTGGTCTCAAACTCCTGACCTCGTGATCCACCCATCTCGGCCTCCCAAAGTGCTAGGATTACAGGCGTGAGCCACTATGCCCAGCCCTACTTGAACTCTTTATGATTAGAATGAATTCAAGTTTTATTTGTGCACTTAGAAAAAGGTAAATGAAGCACAGAGCATGTACTCTGCAAGTTCACACAAGATGGAGACCCCTTCCAGCTTGGGATGCCTGAAAAGACTTTATGGAGAAATTGTAGTTGAACTAGACTTTGAAGGATAGGTAGGATTTGAAAGTTAAGGGTATAAAAAGAAAAAAAAAAAGTGCATCTTTTTAGAAGCACTTTTTGGAAGCTTCTTTTTGGTAATGGAGGAATAAAAAAGAAAAAGTTAAGGGTAGAGAATGAATATAGAAGGCAGGAAATGGAACAGGATGGGACAGGGAGGGCTCAGTGTGAGTGGAGCTGAGGTCTTAATCTAGGCTTTGAAATCAGCCCCAAGCCCAGCTCTACTGTGTACTAGCTATGTAAACTTGAGCCAGATACTGACTCTCTAAGCCTCAGTTTACTCATCTGTAAAATGTAGATAATAATATCTAGCTCATAGATAAAAGAATAATAACATCCCAGGCCGGGCGCGGTGGCTCAAGCCTGTAATCCCAGCACTGTGGGAGGCCGAGGCGGGTGGATCACGAGGTCAAGAGATCCAGACCATCCTGGTCAACATGGTGAAACCCCGTCTCTACTAAAAATACAAAAAATCAGCTGGGCATGGAGGTACATGCCTGTAATCCCAGCGACTCAGGAGGCTGAGGCAGGAGAATTGCCTGAAGCCGGGAGGCGGAGGTTGCGGTGAGCCGAGATCGTGCCATTGCACTCCACCCTGGGTAAAAAAACCAAACCCCCTCTCAAAAAAAAAAAAAAAAAAAAAAAGAATAATAACATCCCATAGGGTAGTGGTGGGAACTAAATGTTACCATATGAAAAGTGTTGAGAACAGTGCTAACAAAGGAATAACTGCATTTTGGACATGTTGGGTTTACGATGGCAGCAGCACATTTATGTGCCAGGAAATGTGGGACTGGAGACCAGGAGAGTGGTCAGGGGGGTCATCCACACAGACATGGTAATTACAGCAGCCATGCTATTGGATGGGATTGTCAAAAAGTGTAGAGAGAGAAGAGAGAGGCTCTAAGAGTGTGGGCAAGTGGCTCAACCTAACCCTAAGCCTAACCCTAACCCTAAGCCTGTTTTCTCATCTACAATGGGGCGATAGCATCTACCACATGGGCCATCATGAAGATAAAACACTTAGTACAGTGCCTGGTATATGACAAGAACTTCATGAATGGTAGCTATTTTATTATCATTATTATAATTAAAGGACCGGAAACAAATTCTATCATTGGGGAAAAAGAGAGTTTCAAGGCCAGGCATGGTGGCTCATGACTCTAATCCTAGCACTTTGGGAGGCTGAGGTGGGTGGATTGCTTGAGCCCAGGAGTTTGAGACCAGCCTGGGAAACATGGTGAAACCCCATCTCTACAAAAAATACAAAAATTAGCTGGGTGTCCTGGTGTGCGCCTATAGTCCCAGCTACTTGGGAGACTGAGATGGGATGATCACCTGATCCCAGGAGGTCAAGGCTGCAGTGAGCCATGATCACACCACTGCACTCCAACCTGGGTGACAGAGTGAGACCCTGTCTCAAAAAAAAAAAAAAAGTTTCAAGAAGAAATAGTTAGCAGGGTCATATGCTGTTAAGGTTAAGGAAAGGATAAGAAAAGCTATTGAATTTAGGGATTAGGGATATTAGCCAAGGTAGGTTAACTGTGATACCAAACAACCGCCAAAACTCAGTGGCTGTTCCTTTCCTTTTCATTCATAGTCTAGTGCAGGTTTAGGAAGGGAGGTCTGTTCTGCCCAATTATTGGGGACCCAGTCTTGTCCATTTTGTGACATTGTCCTCCTCTAGCTCCACAGAATTCTCTACTCCTGGAAAAGTTTTAAAG